GTGTAAAAAAAAAAAAACATGCACATGCACGCACGCACGCATGCCACGCACATGTAGCGTGCACACGGCCACGCACGTCACGCATGGCACCGCACGTCTGTACGTGACAACGCCGCACGTAACGTGCACACGCACACACGCACGCACACAGCGTACGCACGCACGCACGTATACGTGCCACACGCACGCACGCAGCACGCACGCCGCCACGCGCACGCACGCACGGCACGCCGCACACACGCACGATTTACATTACACAACGCAACGCATGCGCTAATAATAATTCGGTAAATTAATCGATATCGGGTGTCTGTCGTGTAAGACAGCCACATGATCGCTAACTCGAAGTTACACGCCTTAAACACGAGTTAGCTTAACTCGAGTTAAGGTTCGTCGTGTAGACGAGGCTATAGTGAAAATCCGTAATCTAGTTTGGGCAGAATGAAACTGGTGATCATGGGAATGCCTTGACAGATCAATGGATCTATTTATTATCTATCTTATTTTATTTAGCACCTGTCATGGCTCATATGTGTGCCAAATCTGCTGCTTTTATCACAATCTGAACGATCGACCTGATTTTTGGTGCTTAGATCTTGTACTAATCAGACCAATACCGGACAGACCAATACCTGAGAGAGGAGGAGATTGATTTTTGTGGACACTGCTGACCGCTGAGCAGTGACAGTCTCCTCAATGACTCGTTCGGCAAGCCGACCGCTGAGGCTCTCCAGTTTTGTCAGCTGATCGCGGAACTCTGCGCAACGATACGACACATAAAGGGTGATCAGGATGCGACATTGCCCTGGTGTCAGCTACGATAAACATGTGTGGTCATCATCACACGCTCCTGAACAATATGACACATGAAAGGTGATCGGGAGGCAACCTTGCCTTGGTGACAGCTACATGTGCGGTTATCACCGCACGCTCCTGCTAATTCCCCACAGATGCTCGTCTATCGATGCATACATGCACGCTGTCAATGTATCACAATAACTTTTTGAGACTTCATTCAGACACTATCCTTGAGCGAATTCTGGTCACTGACGTGTTACTCAATCGCTGAATATTCTGATTCATCGCCTGATCATGTTCAACATAACATATACGGTGCGAGAAAAATAAAATTAAGCTTAATCTAACCGATAATCATTACACTGTGTATATAAATTAGAGCTTCTATATAACAACAGATACGATATTAATACTATATTAATATACTATATCAATATACTATATTAATATTAATACTACGGATACTGCATCTATATACCTTGCAGGCATTCGTTGTTGTAGGTGAGAGCCTGACTGTAGTACAACAACGCTTTCTCCACGAGAAGCTCACAGCACTGCTCCTGTGTCTCCTTTATCATGCGAGGTCGTGTGACCGCACGTAGTCCCTTCTGTCTGTAGTATAGCTGCAGGCAATAAATCACATTACCTACATGGCACAGTACACTCACAGTTTATCCTACTAAATTGGAGCCGTTGCAGTTAGGCTAGTTAGAGCTATAGGATTAATTCGGTTTGGAATTAGGGTAATTTCAGGTTTAGGTTCTGGGCTGATCCAATCACATCACGATATACAGGTAACCTTCTTTTCAAATGACACCCGACACATTATCCTAATAAAGGCAGATTTTCAGGTTTCTATTGAGCTGCTCAGTGACCACCTTTTTAGCAAAAGTCGTCCACGAACAAGCCCCGCGTGCTTAGCAGGAGCTTACGTGAGTAGCAGTCAGCAGACTGTCCAGGTTTTTCCTCAACAGGTTGCGAATGAGGACGAGAAAATAGTTTCCATCTTCCTGCTGTTCCCCAAATACTTGGTACTTCCTGTCGTACTTGTTGCTCCGCCGCTGTGCTCTAAAATTTAGGTTTCACCTCTACTGCAAAAACTGTCGTTAAAACCCGAGAGATTGCCAAGTGACAGTCAAAAGCCTGCGATATCAATTCATAGCAGGACGCTTGGTAATCACGTGTTTGTAAACTGCAGAACCATACATTGGAAATTTGGAAACATTGAAAATCTATATCATCAAATTTTCAGCAGGAGACCTTACCATTCATGAGCTGAGTACCACGACTAGTTAACTCTATGTCCACGAAATCTTGCTAGGGCAAGTCTAGGTACTATCTACTGTCTAGGTGATCCATTCATTAGGGAAAACATCATTAAGAAGTATAAAGCCAGCTGCCAATTCTCAGAAATATCACAAATACTTATGATATCATAGGTCTAAGATGTTATAACTCTAAAATTAAGTGCTGTTTCCCACCAAAGAGAAGCAATGAAGTCTCCTGTCTGACCTCTCCTACTTACCGACCACTGTATGAGTTCTTCTCCATTTTGTAACTGCTCTGAATGGATGCTGGCTTCCCAAGCCTAGATGGCTGAGCGAGATTATGCTGCTTCTTCTAATGCACAGTAAGAAACGAAGGCGTCACATGAAAGTAAATTAGGATAGCGATGAATAAACTAGAACTAAAAACGTCGGAGGACGTTGATCGTGCGATCGCACCTCGATGAAAAAAAAACAAGTTAGAAAATGCTTAATTTCTTTACTAGACATTGATAAGTGGTGACTGATCACACCAACCTTCTCTGGTGTGGATGCAGGACGGCTGTTGGACGTAGTGCTTGTAGGAGGAAGCCACGACTGGATGGCAAGCATCACCTTCATGGTTCCCCCAAAAGTGTGAATTTTTATCAAGGACAATATATTCAATGACATATATGTGACATATCAACTATGTTAGTAAACAATGACGTGTGAATTTTGGATTACAATTAACATTTTCTAGATTGAAGACTTATGTTAATTTGAAAAGGTGAGTCAGGTAACCAGCAATGAAGGTTTTTTTTAGCTTTTTCTTTTAGATAAAAAAATGCAAGGACAATAGACATAATATAAGGACTTGGACCTATTTTTAAAGACATTTAAGAACGAAACGAAAAATAAAGGACTTTCAAGGACGATGGACAAAATTCAACGGCTTTCAAGAGCTGTGGGAATTCTGACCTTGCTCTTCTGGAACCCAACCTGCTCCTCCCTCTCTCCGAATGACGGGATCCTGCACACACACAAAAACATGGCGTTTTCCTATCACATTTTCTGACAAATTCGTTAGTCAACACCTTCAGTGTAGGTGACCATCAATCTTCAATAAAGTTGACTGACACCAGGCAGGCACCAACCACACTGAATCAGTATAACCAGTTGATGCACACATGGCTATAGGGCTAGTGTATGCACATAACCTATATGCTGTGAGCCTGTGCCATCATAATGTAACCTGTAACTACTAAACAATTTTGTATTAGACAAAATTACAACGCATTACAAACGCTTTGAACATACATGTACAAGAGTTCATATTGATGATTTTTACATAGATAATGTGGACGCACCTTGTAAGTTCCTGTATAACTGCGATTGATGGGTCTTCAATGGCCAAAATTCTCTTAGTGCCTTGGTACTGCTCAGTGGCCTGTTATATAGAATATCGAAGAAACGTCTGACAATGTGCAATTTTTTGATACATATGTAACCTAAGCTAACACAGAACTTCTTATCGATCGAAGGAACAAGGTTTGAAGCAGTATTGCGTAAAGTGGAGGCTTGGTCCCATACAGGACACAGATCGACACACGTGGATTTAATGAGGTTACCACCTGATGCTATTGAGATATAATTATACTTGCGTTTTTGAGACGAATTAGTGAATTTAAACTAAATAAAGGCCTGAAATTGTAGACTAGATCAAGACAAGGGAGTTGGGGGGGGGGGAAGTGAGAGAGGGTGAGAGGATTCAAGACAAGAGAGTGGGAGAGAGAGTGAGAAAGGGTGAGAGGGATCAAGACAAGAGTGGGAGAGATAGTGAGAGAGGGTGAGAGGGATCAAGACAAGAGTGGGGGAGATAGTGAGAGAGAGTGAGAGGGATCAAGACAAAGGAGTGGGGGAGAGAGTGAGAGAAGGTGTGAGGATTCAAGACAAGGGAGTTGGGGGGAGAGTGAGAGAGGGTGAGAGGGATCAAGACAAGAGTGGGGGAAATAGTGAGAGAAGGTGAGAGGAAACAAGACAAGAGAGTGGGGGAAAGAGTGAGAGAAGGTGAGAGGAAACAAGACAAGAGAGTAGGGAAAAGAGTGAGAGAGGGTGGGAGAGATCAAGACAAGAGAGTGGGAGAGAGTGAGAGAGGGTGAGAGGGATCAAGACAAGAGAGTGGGGGAGAGAGTGAGAGAGGGTGAGAGGATTCAAGACAAGAGAGTGGGGAAAAGAGTGAGAGAGGGTGAGAGGGGTCGAGACAAGAGAAAGTGAGAGAGGGTGAGAGGAATCAAGACAAAAGAGGGCGCCACTCACATGAGGTTCTGGCTCCTGTACAGCGGGCATCGCTGTCAACGTCGACTGGCTAGCGCACTCACATGATGCCTCTTGTTTGCAGTTGAGAAACTCACATCGAGTCGTGCACATTGCCACCGCTGCTGGTAAATCCACATCTAGCAGCTCTCTCCCTAGTGGCTGGACACGTAACAACACGATTCAATATGATTATTGCTATTGTTATTCTTAGTACTACTGTTATTCTCACTCTCACTCTCACTCTCATTCTCACTCTAACTCTCATTCTCATTCTCATTCTCCTCTCACTCTCATTCTCATTCTCACTCTCATTCTCATTCTCATTCTCATTATTATTACTACTGCTATTATCAGAAGTAAAGTGAGTAGAGGGGACGAGTACCTCATCACCACTCAGCTTGCTCGTTAGTTCCTCGATGACAGCGATGAGACGAGCAGCCTGGCTGTTGCTGCTCGCCACCTCAGACTTGATGCCGATCTGGGTGGTGGTAAGCAGCTTCGCGGTGGCTTCCACAAACACCAAGTCAGCCATGTGGTTCTTCAGCCTACAGAACACACACACACACGCGTTGTTGATTGAATCGCGTATGAACATACACGTGTGTACACACGTTAGTAGGTCTCATGCGTGTGTCGTTACGAGGCGAAGACGCATGTGTACGTTGCAGACGACCGTAAACGACCCGAGTGATTGACAGGTGGCTCTAGCTAATCAGTATTGCGATGAGGGCGTTCTAAAAACATTACTTAGTAATAAAGTGGACAATTCAGCAGGCAAACGCAAATTCAGCAATTAAAAACTACTCGGGCTGTATATGTTTTGTGCATGCAAGCAGGTCATTCACTAAATAACAAACAACGGAGCCCAACACAATACCAGAAAAAAAACGGCCGACTCAATCGCAGCACCGGGCACACTAGGCGATTGTAGCTGCGCGACTCAAATAATTATCAAACATGTTTGATTCGGGCGACTCAGCCGGCCGGTTCAAAAATCGACCGTGACTGGGACCGCGACACTGGACACACTAGGCTGGCCAGCCGGCTTGATCGCATAAAAAATTGCCTAGTGTGTCCATCCCTTAAGAAAAGTCAAAGTTTGAGAAAGGCAGCAAGAGCGTTGATTTTAACGGGAGACGCATCCGGAAGAGTTTCAAAAATAGCCGATTTTCAAAATTTCGGAGTTGAACATTTCCATTTGTGATAAATTTTCCTGGGGCCCAACAAGATGCTCACTTGTCGACGAATTCAGCGATGGCGGCTCTCGATTTTGTGTCTTGGGCATTTTGCACATCCTCAAGGTCACCACAGAGGGCATTCTCAGCAGTGTTTAGCTGATGTGAGACCTTCTCAAGTCGTGTTCTGATGACGTCTGTCTCCTCCGTACAATAGTTACCGCCCTCACTAAACAGCCTGCATTACAGAAGAGAAACACAAGAACATTGCTTACTGGCAGAAGACACGGTGCACAGCAGTTACTACCTTGACTAAACACTTCAGTGATACCATAGGCACATGAAAACATTTATTATTGAAAAAGGAAACATCTGGATATTGTAGTAGTTATTGCTTTTACTATTATTATACAGCCTAGGTGCCAAAATAGAAAGACAAAGACATTCCTTGCCAAGGCAAGGAAGAATAGTCATCATGCAGTGAAAAGATTAAAAAAAATTATTATGCAAAATGTACAAGCATGGAACAGAAAATGTGCTTAAACACACAATTGATGAACAAGCATACCTTATGTTATTGAGGAATTCTGCACTGGATCTGTGAAGTTTGCCTAAACTTGCCTCTATATCTTGCCTATAGTGCATAAGTTCTTGTCTGACCAAATCCATGTGACTTCTCATGTCTTCCTTCACAAGTTCCTGCACTTGCAGTAGTCTGTATTGTGCATGAAACAGACCATCAGAAAATACATAGCCACGTACATTACCATCGCACTGCAAACAAACGTGACAGTCTTATAGTGATGTGCAAAGTGTCTATGTCTCCCTAGGTACAAAACCTGGAGAGTTTCTGGAGTACATTGCGTTATGGCTAGGGCTCAGTTACAGCCAAGGTCAAGGTTAGGGACAGAATTAGGGTTAGGGTTGGGTTGCGATTAAATAAAACCCAGGAAATCGCAGACTATTTCAGCCTTAGTGATGTGCACTGCCTCATTAATAACCAACGACGTCTAAATTCCCAAATAATAATGACGACCATTAACAGCGATAACACAATTAATAATGATAACGCGACTAACAGTGCGCGAAAGACTGAAAACAAGAAATTCCTGACTCACTCGTCGGATTTCGCGGCTGCTGCCACGGTCTTGCCCTTCTCTGCGACCTTCAGCTTGAAGGCTAGCATCGCGTCGTCCAGGCTGCTGGTCGTAACCGCTAGCCCCTGCCTCACCTCAGCCAGTGCGGCCAGCACGCCTCTACAGTGTGTGCTCACTCTGTCACCGTGAGTGTGTAGCTCAGCTATAGTGAGATAGAGTAATTACACTTATCAGAGTACGGGTCAGAAAAATGGTGCCTCTTAAGTCTTCTGAATTTATGTAATACACTGAAGTGATTCACGCAACAGCTTAAATTGACATTGCGCGTATGTTAATTTTCACAATACTGTGTAAAGATTATTCCTTGTTCTACATTAACATTCAGTACAATAGTAATTAAAAGGAAATTTATTATTTAAAGTGAGAATATTTGATTTCGTCAATACAGAGAGAAACCGACCGTTGCTCTGCTACAATTATTAGCCTTTGCAAAATTTTTGCTCTTTGTAATTTCAGTCTCGCAAATTCATATAAGAAATCATTCTCTTGGTCAGCGTAAACACGTTTTGGGTTTCCTACCCAAACGAACTTGGTAGATGTCTTGTTCGATACGACCCTTCCTAGCATCATGCAGCTGCAGCTTCAAATTCAGATCAGCGTCACACTGTTCTAATCTAACTGAAACAAACTGTGTGCAGCAGGAACTATAAGATTATATAAGAACTATATCTGATCCTCTGGCACTAAAAAGGTGCAGACCGAATGACAGGGACATTCACGATTGCTCTCGTGTGCAGCCCAACTGTGCAGATTAAGTGTGCATCCAATGTGTGTAGCCAAGGTGTGCAATGTAAGTGTGCAGCCTACAAGTGCAGTCTACATAAACAGTCAACCTGCTAAGCCTACCAGTGCAGCCTTCTGCACATGTTAAATTTGCAATAATAGTGTGCAGACGGTGCAGTCAACATGAGCAACCGAACTATACAGGCTACATGTGCAGTCTGCTTGTGTACCTCAAGTATTCAGCCTACGCTATGCAGGCTACGTTTGCCACCCATGTGTGCAGTGTACAATACACATGCAGTCAAGCAGTGCATCTTACCTCGGCAGCCTGGTGCAGCGTTTCGTCTCTCCACGTCTCTGTGTGATCCAGGAAGCCAAATCTGATCTGCTCTGTTGTGCTCTCTGCTTCCCCGTCGCCGATTGCAATGTCAACTATGTCCTCTGGCACGGATGGCTTAGGCTCTGTGTGGGAAAAACGCTCACTGTCAGAGCCAAACATACACAACACCATGTCCCCCGGTGAAAACAGCTGATGCTGCAGGGGCAACACACTCACCACTAGAGCCACACAAACACATCATGACAGCTAGCTATATATATGCAATGTAAACCATACCCTGTTCAAGGTGCTCTTATGTCGATTTCTATGTAGAAAACACACTTCCCATACAGCAAAATTGAAACAGAGAAAGACAAAGATTAGAGACACAGATGTAGCAGTATTATTATGCAAATAAATAGATATTATGTAACTTTAGTGCAAAACAGGGTCACTGATAGAACCTTGATGTCAAACAGACCCTTTCGAAATAGCACTGAAACCAAACATTGGGCACAAAAAGTGTAACCGAGAACTTTTCTATGCTTACATCTACCGCGTTAACAACTGCATTATCAAATATAATGTTTGATGCCTCTGCAAGCCTACTGACATCTGCCAGTCTCTGGGGAGAGCTGACAACGTCCTGAACCTTGTCCTGGCCTGCCCAGATACTTCAACACATACGAGAGCACAAGTTTTAGGACCTGACCTGTTATGGGGTCATCTTCGTTGTAAGCCATTTCATCGAGCTGCTCCATAGAGACCACTGCAGCTTCATTGCTGGCCAGGCGATGGAAGACAGTGCCTCTAGACGTGACAATGGTCTCACGGGCAGACACCTCCTGCACACCATCTACGTCCTTAATACAGAATACAATGACAAGTTGTTAGTAACACATCATGAAGATAATATGCAGTCTTTTTGTAACTTTTCTCATATCCATTTCATTTATAATTTGTTATAATACTTATTGTTTTGCACATTTACTGAGTTTAGTGCACATTTAAAACTAGCTCTAGTAACTAAAGCCCGCGTACGGTTGCCGCTGGCAGCGGCAACCGTACGCGGGCTATAGTTACTAGAGCTAATTTAAAACAAGATTTTTCATAATAATAATAATTATTGTTGTTTATTATTATTATTATTATTATTAGTAGTATATTATTATTACTATAGTCATTATAATTCAACATTGTACATATATAATACAGTCAATTCTAACATGCCTGACAGTGAAGTGTTTAATAGATACACGGAGCATGAAATTTCACAAGAATGACGTCACTCAATTTTTTCATTAGCAGTTAGCTGTTGACCGGTTAACGGCATTCTTTGCCGATTGATTCTTTCTCATTGCACGAACCTGTAATTCTTCCTCCTTAACTACAGAAAAGTAGCTATAGATGGCGCTCTCATAGTGGACCACGTCACCATCTATGTCACGCGGGTGCCTCTTGATCAGATGCACCTTCCTGTAGCTCATCTTTTTGTGCCTGCACGCAAACAACACACGTGATCTCTTTCACCAATGGTTTAGTCAATCAAACTTTTAATGGCCAGCAATTTACCTATCCGCCTTAACGAAATAATCTTCTTCTTTGATACTGTGGTTAGGTTGGTTAACCAAAGTTAGCTTTTACGTTGTGCACACCAAAATGTTTCTCTAGTGGCATGTCATTATTAATAATTGTTTTTAGAAACTCCTATTGTAACGCTGATTGGTTAGAGCCACCTGTCAATCAAATTACCCAAGGCAGATAGGTGAGTTGGGATATTATAGAACCACGTACTCTTCTCGGATGCTGTCAAGGAGTTGTGTAGCTACTTTCAGCTGCTGGTTGAGATCAGCCTCACCACTCGACTGCCTTAGCTTGTCCAAAACTATATCCAATTCCTGCTCGCCTACCTACAGAACAAAATATACAGACCTACAGAACAATATAAATATACAGACACTACAGCTGCAAGAACTTCCATATGGAACACAAGTAGGCACCACTATGAGACACAAGTAGGCACCACTGTGGCACACAAGTAGGCCCCACTGTGGCCACAAGTAGGCACCACTGTGGCACACAAGTAGGCACCACTGTGGCACACAAGTAGGCACCACTGTGGCACACAAGTAGGCACCACTGTGGCACACAAGTAGGCCTCGCTGTGGCACACAGGAGGGGGAGAGAGAAGGTAGAGAGGTAGAGGAGGTGCAAGTGGTGGTTGAGGGAGTGAGGAAGAGGGGAGGGGAGAATGTGATAGAGGAGAGAGGAGACGGTAAGGCACCCTCCTCTACCCCCCTCCTCCAGCTCCCCCCCTCCATCCTCCTCCTCCTCCTCCTCCTCCCCACTTCTCCCACCTTTTCGCCCTCCTCCTCCTCCTCTCCTCCTCCTCCACTCCTTTCTGCTTCTCTCGCCTCCTCTCTTCCTCTCCTCCTCCTCCCCACACTTCTTCCTCCTCCTCCCTCACCTGGCCTCGACTCTCCCTTCTCCACCTCCTCCACCTCCATCCTTCTCCCTCCTCCCCCTCTTCTCCACCACTTTCCCCACGTTTCTCCTCTCCTCCTCGCTCCTCCTCCTCCTCCTGCATCCACCTTTCTCCCCCCTCCTCCTCCTCATTTACGCACGTCCTCCTCCTTCCTCCACCTCTGCGCCCGTCCTCCTCCTCCTCCCATTCTCCCCCTCCTCCTCCTCCACCTTCTCCCCTCCTCTCCTCTGCCACCTCTCCCCATCCTCCTCTCCGCCTCCTCCTCCTCACCTCCTCTCCTGCCTCCTATCCACCTTTTCCCCCTCCTCCTCCTCCTCCTCCTCCCTCCTCCTCCCCCTTTGCCCCCTCCTCCTGCCTCTGTCCACCTTCTCCCCATCCTCCTGCTCGCCTCCTCCTCCTCAGCTCCTCTCCTCCTCCTCATCCCTTTCCCCCTCTCTCTCCTCACTCTCCTTCCCCCCTTTGCCCCTCCTCGTCCTCTGCCGCCTCTCCCCCTCCCTGCCTCCTCCCCTCCTCCTCTCCTCCTCCACCTCATCTTCTCCTCCTCCTCCACTCCACCTCCCTCTCCTCCTCTCCTCCTCCTCTCCTCCTCGTCCTCGACCTCCTCCTGTATCTTATTCAAGCAATGAATAATAAATAAAAGTGATACATGTCCGGGGGGTAAATGTCCGCCGGGGTTCATTGATCCGGGGGGTATTGTCCGGAGGTGACTAGCACGGGGGTAATGT